TTTTATGGGCATTATTATGTTTAGAGTCAGATATGCATGTGCTTGGCATTCATGCTTATATTTTTGTACGTGGTTCCTTTTTTGAAAAGATGCTTGTATTTTGTTGTCCTTACATATTAATTGTTTGCACTATTATTTTTTAAACAGTATATTATTTGAAATCCAAAGCAGAATCCAAAGCAGAACATATGTTTTTATACTTAATGTTGAAATCTGATGCCTTAATTTGCCATGTGTCTTTGCTTATTGGAAAGACCATATTACACTTCTGTCCTTGGAAAATGTTAGCATCCTATTCTCGAAACTAAGGATTTATTTGATACAAACAAAATACCTTTTGTAGTAGTATTTGTGTGGTTGGGCCCTTCTCTCCCTTTATCCATCACCCTGTTCAAGTCATGTACTTCGTATGTTGAAAGTCTTATTATGCTGTGACAACTTTTCACGCATCCAAAATAGTACACGCGACTATTATATCTGGATGGAGGGAATATAGCTATGTTACATTTTAATTTAAACTGCTATTAAGTGCAAAGGGACTACAGAAGTTTAATACCGATTTAAGCTTAGCATATTGGAGTTATTTGCATGCCTACTAAAAACTTGGGCAACTAATTTGAGGCCTTCGTTTCTTCAGCTGTATTGGTTAAAGTGACTATGTTGAATATACATAAGCTTGTTGGTACTCATATTTATCCTAAAGCTTGTGGGTTGTTAGGATTGTTGATTTCGGTCTTTCTTTTCTTGTAGGGGAAACCTAATGCGGCCTCCTGCGTAACTTTTTTGCTAGTGTTTTATGTGGAACTGGTAGTGCTTAGTAGCATTCTCTTCGGTTGATTAATGGTTTTGTACCATATGTAATTGTCTAAAGTTTTTTTTTCTCTCATTCTTGTAGTCAAGATTGGCCGACCTGGGTACCGAGTAACTAAGCAATTTGATCCCGAGACAAAGCAGAGGTCTCTTCTTTTCCAGGTACTTGCTAAATTCATGCTTGCTATTAGCAGAATTTACTTATGGACCTAGTACTCTGCTATAAATTTAGATACTGATATCTTTCTATGTGATTGCAGATAGAGTATCCTGAGATTGAGGACAACTCAAAGCCAAGGCACCGGTTTATGTCTTCCTTTGAGCAGGTAAGTTTCAATATGTTGGAAATTTTGAACTCTACAGATTTTTCAATTGTTGCTTATCTTAATGTTGTTTACTTCTTGAATAGAGGGTTGAAGCTTTTGACAAACGGTTCCAATATCTCATGTTTGCTGCAGAGCCTTATGAAATTATAGCTTTCAAGGTAAATTTTATATGACGTGTAATCTTTGTCAAACCATACAAATTACAAAGTAAAACTCGTAGTAATCTTGATGTCTTATTTATATTAATTGCTTGTGCATTCAGGTTCCTAGCACAGAGATTGACAAGTCTACCTCCAAATTCTTCTCACATTGGGATCCCGACTCCAAGATGTTCACGGTATGCCATAAATTCTTGCATCATACTTCCTTTGTTTCATATTCGTCGACACATTTCTTTTAGGGGCTTTAGGCGCGTTTGTCAATGCATAATTGCAAATGTGAATAACTTTGATTAGATACAACAACAATAATAAAAATTGGGTATTCTGTATTTGGAAAATAGATGTTGAGACGATTATGAAAAGATCTCGCATAATGTGTTATCTTAAATATAAATCACAAAAGGGGGTTAAAAGTTAATTATATGAATAGTGACCTAAGTAAAACCGTGTCAACTAAAAAGAAACGGAAGACGTACTTAGTATTAACTTTTAAATTCTTTTCACTTTGATATTCTTCTTCGAAGATGTTCACGAGATCACAAGATGCCATTTCTTGCATTATAGCAACTAGCAAGTATAATTGGGAAACAGTACGTCCAAACCAACATTGCGGTTATCTCAATTCTCAAATTTTGTTCTGAATTTTGAGCTTATTCTGTGCAATTTTGCAGTTGCAGTTATATTTCAAGGCCAAGCCACCAGAGGGAGCAAACCACAACCTCCTCCAGCACCAAATGGCACTTCTGCTCCTGGGGTCCCACCAAGGCCTCTTTGCCCCACCTCCGCATGCTCCTCCACCTCCACCCCCGCAGGGACCTCCACCCCCACAAGGACCTCCACCCAGTGCTCCATCTGGAAATCCTCCAAGAATGCCGCCACCTCCTCCACCGCCATCAATGGGCAATGGTCCGAGGCCCTTGCCTCCTGGTGCTCCTCCAGCTCCACCACCTCCCCAACTGGGAGTGCAGGAATGTCAAACTTCTCGATGGGGAACCAACCGCCTCCTCCACCCCAAGGGTTTCCCTGGTCAACAGATGCAAGCTCCACCACCCCCACCTCCCAACATGGGCCAGTAATTGAATCTACAGTAGTTTTGGTCTGGGAATTTTGTACTAGATTCGAAGTTGTTTTCATGATAGCCTTGTATAAGATTGTACTATTATAGGTTCGTTAAAACATTGGGATAAATATCATTATTAACAATCTTTTGAGAAGGATGGACGATTTTTTTTTCTTTCCGTAATTACACTGCCAATTATCCTTTGTTATTGCTTGCAATTTTTCCTCTTGTTTGTTTGTGTGTGTGCCGCTATGCGCTTAACTTCGTACATCATCATGGGTGGAATGGCGAACCCACCAGAACAGTGGCTTGGCCCTTTGTTGCCATGAAAAACGTTGCAAATTCACTTATTCACGAAAGGCCAGAGAGTTTGGAAGGGGTTGACTTGGAAAATATATTTAGTCCTACACTCCCTACTGCTATGAAAGGGGAAAAAAATGATTTTAAATCTAACTACAAAAGTACAAAGTATTTGAAATAATGATATACCCACATTTAAAATACTACTTTCGGATCTTATTATATGCAACTTTGGAATTTTTTTATATCTCATAAATAATACGCCCAAAGTTGCATATACTCGCAACTTAAGGGTATTATTTGTGAGATATAAAATATTCCAAAGTTGCGAGTAATATGGACCGGAGGTAGTAATATAGTCCGGAGGTTGTACAACTACTTCCGTTCTTGAAAGTAATTTACCCTTGCTATATGTGCAAACTCTAACAATCTTTAGCAATTACTCCCTCTATTTTTAAATACTTGTTTCACTTTTCTTTTTCGACCGTTTTTAAATGTTTGCTCCATTTCTTTATTTGGAAAGCTCTTACAATATTTAATTAATTTCTCACAACAAGTGGACCTAACATTATTAATTTAATATTCTCTCTCCTTCATTTCTTTCAACTACTTTTGTTTTTTTTTACAATTTTCTATTCTTCCACTAACCCCACTACTTCTATATTTTATTACTTTCTCCAAATTTTTCCTATAACTCCGCGCACGGAGAAAAAATAGAACAAGTATTTAAAAATAGAGAGAGTAAAATCTAAGTTTCATATTACAAAAATTATACACCGTAAATGTTACTGGAAAATCAAAGTAAATTTTGAGAAAAATTTAATAGAATTTCATATAACTATATTTTAAAATATGTGCCAATCATAATTAATTCAAAGCTTTCTAACTTTGAACACATAATTCAAAATGTGAAGATCTTTTAGGATTATATCAAAAAAAGAAGATCTTTTAGGAACATATAAAATTAAGTAACTGCTTTTAAAAGGAAATAAATTTGTAACTACTTGTAAGAAATAAGGTGAAATGTTATCCGTAATCCATAATCTATTTTTCTATTCTTCTTTTCCTATACGAAGTATTTTCTAATTTCCAAAATAAATTTTCAAAATAAGGTTAGGACAAAAAGAATTCAAAATTTAAAATTTATTATAAATTTCTAACCACAAAGGAGGGAAAAAATGAAAAAATATCTGAAAACGGAACATCCTAAATGGGCCAATGAAGATGAAATTGACCCCATAAACAGCTTGTACTTAACTTGTTAAAAATTTAAGAAGTCTACTTATGATGACAGCATTGCCTAACTCATTCAAACACCTGGATTATCCAAAGTGCATGCTTCACCTGCTCCTTTTTAGTCATTCGTATGATTACTTAGCTCATTCCTCAAACCTGTCGATTGCAAAATCTTCATTATCTGTTTTTGGTTTAATTTTGCTTTCTTTTCATAATCTGTATTTATTTATGTAGTATAATGATGTCTGGCTACAGGTACATTGTTGTGACGGAGTACAGTACACGTATTTTTATCACATTAACTTTATGGAGAATTTGGTTAGGTCGGGTCAATTTCGAATGTAATCTCTTCTTTCTACAGTAGTTAGTATAAAAATGTTTCATTAGGTTTTCACCTTTTAATTTATGCAATATTTGACCATCTGTTAATTTAGGTGCAATCACAGAAAAAACCAAAAAAGAACACATGATATTCAATTGAATCAACTCCTAAGTAAATAACAAATAAGACAATTTTAGTGGGATGATGTAGTAATTCGGGTTTAGTTCAACTAACTACGGAACACCTTTTAGGATGAAAATTCTAAGGTAATCACTCCTATAATTTTGATCATCTTAAGCCATCCTGTTACTATATAATCCACAATTTAATTTAAATTAACCCTCTCCAAATCCAATCTTATTGTCATCAAGTAAAAGGAATCTAAATTCTAGAAAACTCAAATATAGAAACCTATAAGGCTAGAGTATTCCTAAACACTCCCCCCAATCCCCATTTTAAGCTTGGAAGTTGAAACCTAAGTAGTCCAAACGTCAAAATCAAATAAGCAGTAAATAAAAGAAACTCCAAACGACCAAACAAAAAAGACCCCGCCTCGAAAATAACGGGTTTTGAATTTTGCACCGTAACAATTAACACCTTCCCTCCTTCCTTCATCTTCCTCTGTCTCTTCCTTGTTCAGATACCAGCTGCTTTTCTTCCAAACACGCCACGTCACCACTCTTTCTCTCTCCTCTTCTCAACTTAACAGAACTACAAAGCAACGAATTTCCCGTTTTTAATTTATAAAATAAAATAACATTCTTCTTCTTTATTTTTTTTTAAAGTTGATCTTTTTGTTGCAATAAAAGCAGAAGTCTGAATTTCTCAGCAACAAAGAAGAAGAGCAAAAGGAGAGAGAAAATTAAAATAAAAAATGGGTTCAAGTTCGAATAATAGTGGAAGTAGTAATTATGATTTATCATTCAAAGTTTTGTTAATCGGTGATTCTGGAGTTGGCAAAAGTAGTCTGCTTGTTTCTTTCATTTCGAATTCTACTCACGATCAATCTCCTACTATTGGTAATTTCCCTTTTTGATTTTTTAAATTTGAATTTTGATTTAAATCAAACTCACCGACAATTGGAGTTTTTCTTATTTATTTTTGTGGATCTGGATTTTGTGTTTGAAGGTTTGAATTATTGAGATGATTGGTTGTTTTTTGGTATAGTTTTTCCAGATAATTTACTCAATAAAATAGTACAACTTTCGTTAATTGTTCGCTTTCATCAAAATTTTTATATGTAATATTATTTAATTTAATTTGAGTAGATAGTTTTACCTACTTAGTCAAATCGAAATAGAAAGCGCAACTAACTTAAAGAGGGTCGAAGTAGTTTATTAATGTTGTTTGATTGATGAGTATAAAATATCTAAGGTTGTATGATAGATAGTGTATATAGTTTTTTCTTAATAAGCCCAATTTTCATGAAATTATGGAAATTTATTTATTTATTTATTTTTGAAACAATGGAAATTTAATTGAAGTCCAATAATCTAATAATTTACGACTACTTCAGATTTTTATATATTTTTTTCTTCCAATTTCGAGTTTTGTGTGATCAACAACGGATGCAATCTTGGTTTCTTGGTGTAAACCGTTGCTAATTCGTAGGTGTAATGTGCACCCGCGTACCTCTACCTGCACGAGTGTATTTTACTTTATTTTTTCGAACCCAAATTAAGCTATCTTTGAATACACTCGTGATTTATAACAATGATAAATGGTTACGGAAATAGGTATCTTGTATTTAGTCAATTGAACTGCAATCGCGACCAATATCATAATTTTGGTTGAGGGAAAACCAAGTGGGATAGATTTTAATGAACAATGTGTCTTTTCTTTTTATTGACAATTTGCCATTGCCATTATGATTTGCTTGCTAAGTTTGGTTGTTGATTCACTTTTTGTAGGGGTTGATTTTAAGATCAAGACGCTCACTGTTGGTGGGAAGAAGTTGAAACTTACAATATGGGATACTGGTAAGTGGTAACTAGTTGCACAATGCACTTCTTTCTTACTCCATATCTTAAGGTTCATCTGTTTTTTATATCTCGATTATATGGACATAAGAATGTAGTAACTAGAGAGAAAGATATCACTTAATTTAGACTTTTAAACTGCATGATTGGGTGTTGACTGGTTGTTGAAGCTTTGTAAAACTATATCCCCAAACAACACATGTAAATAATGAAATTGCCCTACATTGATACAATAAGAGAGAGTTTATTACTTTATAAGGCTAATGGACTACTCTGATTATAGCCCTATAATTTTAAGGTGGAACCTATTTGGACTTGTTTAGTGGTTTGTATATGATGATGGGTGCAGTCCAGGCCCATATTTGTGAAGTGGACTCAATTCTGGGCCATCTTACATCGAGAAAAGCTGTTGATCGTAAAATGAGATGAGTTTTAGTTTTAGGATTGTGAATTTTATTCTTTATCTGCTTATAGTCTCTAGCCATCCCTTATCTTAATGTACATGCATTTTATCGTTTGCTCCGTGATTACTCTTTGTTGAAAATTTATCGCAAACTCCAACGTTGAACTATTCTTCAATTTGGAAGAGCATTACTAATAATATGTATGCCTTTGCAGCTGGTCAGGAGAGGTTCAGAACACTGACAAGCTCCTACTATAGAGGTGCCCAAGGGATTATTCTTGGTATGTTCTATTTCGGAATGTATGATCATTTGACCAACTAGTTTATTGAGATTATAGTCATTGTTATAAGTAGTTACAAGAAGCCAATAGGTCATGATTCTATTTCCCATTAGATGAGGGTTTTTTTTTTTCTTTTTTTTTTTTTGGGGGGGGGGGGGGTTGTTAGATTAATCCATTTCGAATTGTTGTTAGGCACACCTCTCTATCAAGAGTCATTTAGCTTTTTTTTAAAGTATATTTGTTTTGCCAAATATTTAATGTAAAGTAGTGCTCGTTGGCTGGTGTTATATTGTATTAGATTTTAGGGACTCGATTATAGGAATGATACTTTCTTCTCTCCAGGCCTCTCTTCTCATCACTCACATTTTAGCTTTTCATGAATCCAAATTTATGCAAGTGTTCACACTGTATTCAGAACATGCAATTGGGTTTATATCTGATCTTATGTCTACTTATCCATATGTTGCTATAGCGAGCATGGAAAAGGTACATAGCTGAATAGTATATGCTTCAGCAGAGTGTTTGCACTTTGTTGTCAGTGCAAAAAATTAGCTAACCATTAATTCTAGCATCATCCATTTCATAAGCACTGCTTGACAAAACCATTTCTTATCACCGCTGGCTGATTTTTCATGTAGAACATTTTCATATCCTCCTTTTGACTTTTTCCCCCTTTTAACGTCTTTACCTTTTTGTCATTTTAGTGTATGATGTCACAAGAAGAGAAACTTTTACCAACTTGTCTGATGTTTGGGCTAAAGAAGTTGAGCTTTACTCCACTAATCAAGATTGTGTCAAGATGCTCGTGGGAAATAAAGTTGACAAGGTATATCCTGTTTATCCATACTTCTATGCATTCTTGAATTTTTTTTGTTCATTTTTGTAATATTAGGGCTTGTACTGCAGCATTTACAAAACATACATTAGATTTTACTAAGTGCTTGATCTCTCCTAGCCAAGACTCTATTTTCTGATGAATCTTATTCGAGTAAAGTAAAAGCTTAGTCTTTTTATGCTAACATAGCTGTTTCCTATTCTACATTGGAGGCTAGTGCAGTTGTTGATATTGTTGATGATTTGGTATTTCATTAGCATCATAAGTTGTGTGGCATTGAGATTGATCTTTAGGACTTTTTTGAATTAACAATTCAAAGGAAGACTTCTGAATTTGATATTATCGGTCCTTTTTAGAAGTGGACAAAATTGTTTTATATATTAAATCCATTCATTTACTAGAAGTAGAGTTTTTCCTGCCCCAAAATGGTATTTCCTTTGAAAGGTTGATGCTTATTAGATATTAGGAACTCACTGTTCTTGCTGATTTTTACTTTAGGATTCGGAAAGAGCTGTGACTAGGGAAGAAGGGATTGCTCTTGCACAACAGTTAGGTAGTTTATTTCTTGAATGCAGCGCCAAAACTCGAGAAAATGTGGAACAGTGCTTTGAAGAGCTTGCTTTGAAGGTAATATATTTTCTAATCTTAAAAGTGTTTCTGTTTTTAAGTGCCGTAGTGTAGGTCTTTTGGACTTGATAGTGTGTCTCAAAATATTGAAATTATTAGTTTGTGCTTAAAATTCATATGTATATATCATGAATATAAGATGGCCTACTGTCTTTCGGTAATTGTACAATTGCTGGTGGTTCCACTTACATTTGATATTCCATGGTTATAGATCAAGCTTGGAAATTTTGGTGCTCTAAAGTCGGGAATTTGTCATGTTTAGTGTTTGTTTGGTTGGATACATGCACTTATATATATCCTATTTTCTGTTAGGAAGTTTAGTGCTTTAGGTTAGGAATTGATCATGTTTACTGTTTTTTAGTTAGATACATTTACACCCCCAGAAAGTCCCGCTATCCATGGGAGGTGTTTAATAGTTGGATGGTCTGCTTAATTAGGCACGTGGGAGGAGGAGGAGGAGGAAGGAAGGGGTGGGGGGGGGGGGGGTAGGGGACTTGCGAAGCAACTTTGCACATATTCAGAGTAACTATTTGCAAAGTTCAAATCCCCACATTCCAGCTTAGCTTATTTCTCTGTTATTTAGTATAACAAGTTTCATATAGAGGGGTATGTAGAGGAATTAAATTTTTTTGAGTGGATAGAGACTTGTAAAATAGAAACTAGCTCAAGATCTAGCTTGTACAAACTCTTTTAACTTTCTTACTCACTCTTCTAGCATAAATCAACCCGAAGCCTTGCCCATATAATTGTCCATATAAGCACAGGACTTGGAACAATTGTGCCTTCACTTACTCTTCTAATCCTTTGCATAAAACTACCATGTAAATGCACATAAAACCTTGACTTAACCTTGTTGTTAATAGTTTGTCACTTCAAAATGCCCCAAATAACCTCATGTGATTGTGTATTATTGCAATATTCAAGTCACAACTCCACCAAAATGGTCACTTGAAATCTGTCTGTCAATTGTAGGGTAGAGGAATTTAGCTTTGTGTTAAAATTATGATGTATAGAAACTGAATAAGGGTCGGCAAAAGTTGTAATTACATTTAACATTAATCATGGTGTGTCAACATGGAAAAAGCAATACAAAACTGGTATTAGGGGCTTATTTGTAAAGTTAATAGTATGTAAGATGGCTGCTAAAATTTCTATAATTTTGGCTACTTAACTCTGTTATCTCTCCTTTATTTGTCCTAGAAAAAAGGGGGTGATGCTCAAGATCTATACTTAGATTAAAAATGTCTTACTTACTCTTTCATAACATAATAATTCTAACATAGTAATTAGAAGATACGCTAGAAGTTCTTCTGGTTTAGAATCGTACAATTTTAAGTCATGCGGAGTTGACTGTTTTAAGAATATCAATTTCTTATAACTTTTACTGTTAATATGCAATTACTCCGTATAAGATTTTAATGATCAAAGACTTACATTGGGCATACGTGCATAGTTAACATAAGAACTTTTAGAGGTGGAGTGTTATATACACAGAAGAAAAAACAATTAATAGGGGCATGACTGCATGAGTCAACATGTCAAGGAAGAGGGTATGAAGTAATTTATTTTTTCTAATTCTCTTTCCATATTTGGTAAGTTTAGATACTTTGGCTGAAGCTGAAACTAAGCATTTTACAAAACTTGACATAGTATAAAACTTTAGGTTACCAAAGTTTAAAACTTTAGGTTAATTGTTTTTATGGTGCGTACATGATTATTTCTGATTTTGGTTCATTTATGCTGTAAATACAATGTGAGTTTTCCATTTAAATTTTACATGAAAAGTTGATTGGAGGCTTAGCCCTCATAGCAGTAATGTTGGCAACATGCTCTAGACCTCTAGTCAAATGATTCGGGTATTAGCAGTGTTACTTCTACCAAATAACTCAAGACCTTGTGGAGCGTGAATGGGTGGGGAGAGTAGCAAAGGAGAAGGCGAGGGATGGGCTTAGGGCAGCATTTTCCTCCTAAAATGTGTCAGCATTCGAAAAGTTTGATTTGTTAAATGGATCTCTTCATTTATCCTCTTCCCGTATCCCACCCAATAGGGAAACTTTTAAGGAACAAGTTCTAACCAGTATGAAGTATATATTAACAAATTTACTGTAACTTGTATGGAACTAGAGGAATCAGGATAAATTTGACTTTGCTGACTATTTTACAGATTATGGAAGTTCCAAGTCTCTTGGAGGAAGGGTCAAATGTGGGAAAAAGGAATGTCTTAAAACAGAAGCAAGATCAAAGAGCGTCTCCTCCAGGTGGTGGTTGTTGCGCTTGAACAGCCACTGCGACTCCATATACTTCAAAGGAGACCTGAACCGCAGTTGCAACTTCATTATTGGTAGAAGTTATAACATGTTGCGGTCAAATTATGTACATGATAATTCTTTTTTTTTCGCTTTTCTGCTGTTCCGTGTGTTTTATTCTGCGTTTAGCTGTGTATCCGTCATTCATAGGAATTAGAGCTGTTACAAGTTTGTGTATAATAATAGTAGACTTTCTTAGGCATGGCTTCTCTCATCTACTTGGATTTGATTGTCACTTTGCTTGCTTCGTGAGCTATACATCAGCAATAAGTTTATGTATCGTTGGTAAGTTAAGAGTTTAATCATGCTATAATATCCATCAAGGGATAGATTGAAGTCTATTAAGATTGATCATTAAACAAAAGCAACTACTTTCACACAAACTCTTAAGATTTGAACGCATTCTTCTCTTTAAAGCACAACCTTTTGCCTACCGACTTTCTGTCGAATCGATCTTTATAGGAATATGGTTCTCTCTTCTCTTGTTTAGCGCTATTGACTTAAAATGATATTATTTTCAATGTTTTATTATTTTGTTTCTTTTAAATTCCACTTTTTTTGTCCAACTTTTTTGAAAAAATCACCTTTTATATATATATATATATATTTTTTTTTTTATTTACTAAGCCATTTTTTTAAGTACCTAAATTCTTGATTACATCACTCCCATTTCAAATTTTGACAAAAAATTTAACTTGTGTCTTTCGCTCCTAAATCATGTATTTTTTCACCCTTAAAAACATTTGACTCTTCCCTCTATATAAATGCATGACTAAATTGAGTAAAGCTCTAAAAAATCAAACCTAATTTTGCTACAAAAATTAAATTGTAGTATTTGTTTATTCTCAAACCCTAAATTGAGGTAATAGAAGTGGTGGTTGAGATGGAAGGGAAGGTTTTGCTATGGTTGATGATTTGGAAGTGGATGGCTGAGATGCAATCAGTTAGATTTGAAATAGGGGTGATGCAATAAAAAATTTAGATACTTAAAAGGTGGTTTAGTAAATAAAAAAAAAAATACAACAATTACCACACATAAACACTTTCTCTCTCTAGAAGAGAGTTTCTCACTCTAGAAATAGAGCTTTTAGTTATTTTTATTAGAATTTCGGTTTAGCGGTGGCAGCCTCCAATTATTTTTAGCTAATTACAATAAAAACGCCTCCTCGTTTATTGCGGTAAGCCGAGCCAACGGATTTTGCTTTCTAACTTCCCTTGGCCCTATGTTGCCATTTGACAATTCCTATTGATGCCTTTATTAAAGGCCAATCTCTTTTGCTTAGTATAATCATTACCCTTTTAACAGTGTTTACTGCAGTTTAAATTGTCTTTAGCGCCGTTATTCCCCTTCCTCTTGCCCATCTACACTTTTAGTCACGGCGTCATTTTACTAAATAGAATATGGGGTTATACCGTTTCGGTTTTACGGTGGTAATTTTCGCTTCACCCAAAGCTAATCTGCATGCTTTGGTCGCCTTCTCCGAGACACAAATTCGAATCGCCTCCTTGTCATGGTGGCTAGTATAAATATAAACTCCCTTTCACAACCCCTTCACAGTCTCTAATTTTTTTTTCACTGTTTTTCTTTCATGTTCTCACTCTACAATGAATCACCAAGCAAATGTTAACAGCAACATCAATAGGGCTGTTCCCCTGGCCAAAATTGAATCTTACAGAGTGCAGGGGAGCAGAGCTTTCTGGCAGCAATGTGTGTATGGCTACTTAATGGACTACCGTAGCCTAAATGTTAACTCAATTCGGAACTTCATCAACTCATCCCGAGCTTTTTTCTTAAATTAGATGATGATGCTATCAGGTACGAAAACCTTTTTAAGTACGTGTGGCAAAATTGGCCACAAGTACACCAGATGTACGAGGCATGAAGATCTCATCAAGATCGATATAGATGATGAGATTGCAGGTAGGAGGGTGGATAACTCAGGCTATAATCAACGTTTCTTTGTCAAATTCGATGCTTTGAACAACTCAAGGGCAGTTGAGATCAGGGAGCCGAACTCGCTGGTGTACGAGCCGATGGACTTCTTGGGTGAAGATGAAGATGATGCTTACCCAAATGGACAAATCCCGGAGGATCCCCTTAATCCATGGGAAGGGGAGTTTGCTAGAAGAGAACATTTTAGAAGCCCAGACTGATCTGCAACAACAAGCACGACCTCGAATTGAGAAATTAGACTTTGGAATCACTGGTATCAAGGAAGCTACCTCGCCTTCTCCGACCGAGACTATGTCTAATAGCGCCGTTATTTTTACAATGATTGATAAATTGAGGGTGGGACTTGTCCATTGATTAAGACAATCCCAAACCCCACCCTGTTGAGAAGTGCAAGGTTCGCCGTACACCAAAATCAATCTCCATTTTCCATTAATAACATCATTGAAGTTTATTACAAGGAAATTGACACAAGTAAAAACTACATCAAAAAGGGATTTATCTTTACATCCCAACCAAAGACCACCACTAAGACCCCTAGAGTCTACACCTTTTAAATAAATTAAAACCTAAACTTCTTAAGCGATTAAAAACTAAATCCGAACTACTTTTCGTTTCCGCTAAAAAGATGAAGTCCGGACAAAAGACCCAACAAGCCTTTTAAGTTTTGGAATTATCGGTGTTGTTGGGCTTTTAATACCCCGACAATTCTATAATAGCCCAATCACTGAGGAGGAGGTGGTTGAATTGGGTCAACCACCGCAAGCCCATCACCTGTGTAAGTAAGAGTAATACAAGCATCAAAATCAAAAGACAAAGTAGGGCCAAACCCATTCTTGGATGTTGACGGCCCAACATCTGAAGGACCACCATAGTCAAGGCCCTTCCCTTTCTTCTTTTTCCTAGTCAAGAGAGAATCAGCATCATCCTCAATTTCTTCTATAAATTGAATTGAGACAAGGTCCAAATCTGAGATTGCTTTCCTTTTGAGAGGGTAGTGTTCCGACTTGAACCTCCTCTTATCCTTCCTTTTCTTGAAACACTTGTTTCTCATCTTCTTCCCGCTTCTGTCCTTTTCACCCCACCTAGTATAAATAACGGCGCTATTAGACATAGTCTCGGTCGGAGAAGGCGAGGTGTACAGCGAACCTTGCACTTCTCAACGGGGTGGGGTTTGGGATTGTCTTATGCAAAAAGGTCGGAAGGTATTTAAAGCTTATAATGTAAGGCTAGGGTAAAGGGTAGGATAAATTTAGGAAAATGTGAGAGAAAAGTCATGCTTAAGGGAGTCATATCCTAATAAAACTCAAGGTCAAAAACAAGTAATGACCAAAACATCTCCAATCACAACTTAACTCCACAAAAATTCACCAAGCAATCCCATACATAACAACAATTCCAACACTTACATATTCACTCACAAAGTATAATAACAGGAAATAGAGTGAATTAAAACAAACTTTGAACTACTTATTTTTTTTTTTTTTTTTTTTTTCAAACTTGAACTTTTTTTTCTTGAGCAACCTTCACATAGAACATTTGAACATTTGAAACAATTTTTTTCTTTGCACTTTTTTTCTATTTATCTCACATTGGAAATTTTCAACTTTGAAACACAAACCATCTATATTTTTTCCAATCATAAAAATAAAGAACAATCACTCTTCTTTTATTCCCACATTGTGCAAATAGAGTGCACACCACAACTCCCTCACCTCACCAACTAATAGCTCCCCCAAGCCAAGCTTGGGACTAGTAACCAATGGGGCTCATATAGGCTTGTAATGTGGCTAAATAATCAATAAAAAGGGCACAATCAACAACATGGGTAGCAAGAAGGGAACAAATGTATCTAATATCGTCTGAAAGCTACCTAAGAGAACAAATGCCTTCGTCCACCTCAATGTGCATAATATTGAGCCATACAAACATTCTAATAGTTGCAAACCAATACTCAAATTCCTTGACATACCAGGAACTATCACACAATTCCTAACCAAATCAACTAGTCAAGCACTATATTCACAAATAGTTGGAAAAATTGACGCATGTTTAGGCATCCAAACAAATAAACTTCAAATCATGATCAACATATTCACAAAGCTCATTATCATATACCAAGAATCAAAACAATATTTTCCAAGTATGAGACACAGGGAAGCATGATTTACAATTCATTGGAACATATTTTTTTTTCAATTTTTTTTTTCTATTTTTTTTCATAAAGGAAAGCAATAAAGACTACACTAGAAAGCAATAAAATCTATACTAGAAAGCAATAAATAGAGAAAAGAGAGAAAGAGTTACCATATGTACAAGATATCTCCCCCCAAGCCAAATCAAGCAATGCCCTCATTGACTTGGGAGTGTAGCTAGGAGAAGTTACTCCTTATCATCATCCTCTTCCATCCTTTGATAGACTCTTCCATAGCTCGAGACAGCACCTCCATGGCTCGTACCGACACCACCATAGCCCGAACCACCTGCAAAGTAGTTAGGGTCTACATTTCCCCCCATCCCCCCAAAAGGAGCATCGGCCCCATAACCATGGACTGAAGAGTAGTCCATATAAGTACCAAAGGCTCCTATCTAGAGTGCCTAACCTAGAGTCTAGGTTTTGCACCATGCCCTCCACTCTCCCTTTCCCTGTCTCAATACGGTCAAGTTGGCTCCGAAAAGCCGAAAAGTCATAAGGGGCATGGGGGTCGATGTTACAATCGACGGAGGAGGTGGGTATGCCATATGTGTAGGGTTGGGGTGGTGGTTGGTATTGGGGTGAATGGTGGGGTTGTGGTGAAAGGTGAGCCTCTTGAACCTCGCCTTGACCGTTTAACTCGAAAGTGTAGGAAGGCTTCCCCTTCTCAAATTTGGTCAAGGCGGGGTTGGGTAGCGTAAAAGCTTGGTCTCTCCTACCCGATTCCCGGTGGACTATCCACCATGTCTCACCTCCCATAGGTTGCACCCAGTTAAGGCCCCCTAAGTATGTTAGGTCCATAAGGGTCAAACCCTCCACTTTCCTATGCCCGGTCGGGGTCCATCCTAGGTGTTTTACTGCTATATGGGTCACCAACCCCCCAAAATAGATAGGCGCTCTAGACCTATCCCCCTCGGCCGCATTTGCCGCCCTTTGAAAATGCTGGGCTATCCTATGCGGTATGTTTAGTTTTTCAGCATTGGGGATCATATAGGAAGCCAACAATTCAAGTTCATCCCTCCTAACGTTTGCCGGTTCGTGCCTCCCAAAGATTGTGAGGCCGGAAAACCTTTGCCAAAACTTTGGGACGGGATGTTGAATCCACGTCCCTTTGGCATGTTGGAGGTTAAGTAAACCCTCCCCGGTGAGTCTTTTATAGACCACGCCAATGTGGTCTTGGGAGGGTTCAATAGGTTTATC